AATCGATCTGGCAAGCCCTCAGCGTCATACTGATACCGCTGCCAAAGGAACAACCGCACAATTGAAGCGACCGGTGTAGTCTTTACAGAAAGCTTTCGCACCTTCGCCCCAAATTGACGGCCATCAGGTCGACCATCTATGACCTGCATCCAAATTTCTTTTGTGACCCTGCATGATTAGAGTTTGGAGCCACAGAAACAAAGGACATTTAGTAGGAACTGGCTTCAGGCTGAGTCATTAAAAATTGTTAAGCTTGTTGAGCAACTCTCTTCAAGCGAGCAGGGCCTACCTCAGTGCAGCAACAAGTTACCCAGTCAGCAAAGAATATCAATCCAAATGAATCTGTTATCTACCCACCCAGCCAGTGGATAACATCAAACATTTTCTGTGGGGTTGGTAACTATTTTGCAATGAACGTGAGGGAGTGAGCTTACCATCAAGAAAACCCAAATCAATTCTTCAACACCCATCAGGCTACTCCCAAGAAGAACATCGCAGCTTTCAAGCACACACATAGGCCCTTCAGTGGCAGGATCCTGTCCAATCTAACAGATGGCTTCTTTGCACTTGCTCTTGCTTTGTAAGTCCGCTTGTTCTGCACTGGCTGCGGTGGTGACCTGCCACCTTCATAGTCATTGCCCAAAGAGACTCTAGACTCCAAGGAGCTGGGGCATGACTCTGAAGTCGCCTGCGAATCCTCATCATCCGCACCATCACTCGTCTGCTGCGTATCAGCTTCCTTCTGCATGTTGCCCGCGCCGAAACACATTTAAGAAGGTGTCAGCTCCATACCAAACAACTAAACCATTCTTATATTGATCCAGCTTGTGGGCCAAGAAGCTTCAGCCTTGTTTTCAAAATGGTACAATGCATCAGCCAAGGTTCAGACTCAGAAGTGCCAAGTGAAGAACATGGATCGTCATCACACTGAACTTCACGATCTGTGACATCTGAAGTCCCTTGGCTTTCCTCATCATCAGCAGCAGCAGGCCCAGTCCCATCTGGAAGCACTTCCAAGACACCAGAAGCATCAAATTGATTGCTAGTGAAGATCCACAGAAGCTCTCTGTCTTGAACAGGGTGGTCCAAGCGCTGAAACTCTTCTCGATAATGCACAAGCTCTGGCAAGTTCTTGGCCACTGATGTGAAGCAACCTGCAAAGCATGAAAACAGCTCAAGATTTTATGTGGGTCTGCAACTGAAAACCCTGCTTTCGGAGATAGGGTATAGTCAACACCACAAACTGACAGATATTTCTCCTGAGTCATAGACTTGGATTTGCTTAAGGAACTGGTAAAATGCAACATATCTCTCAAAAGTGATCCGCTACATAGGGAAAATCAAAACGACCTTAAACAAAGCCAAGTAGACCGAAGGAACAGTGCACACACCCCATGCCAAGACCAATGCACTGCTGCAGCTTCTCAGAAAATTTCCGAGTGAAATCCACCATTGTGACCCCACAGCTATGCACAAAGTTGACAGCAAAGCTCCAAGATTGCAAGTCTTGGTTGATATCTTTGGGGTGTATTCCATACCCCTGTAAACAGTGGATGATGATGGTTAGTAAAAGCCTTTCTCTAATATTGTCATAATCATTGAATTATTTGCAAGCCTTCGTGTATATAACTTGTTCCGCGCATTGCCACAAACAAATCATATTTTCTCACTGGCATGAACCAAAGCACAGTCAATTACTGTATCACATTGCAACCATGCATCAAAAACATTGTGCAAACATCAAAGCATTTCACAAACAAATACCTCCAAGTTGAGGATCCCCACACAAAGCTCTATCATAGCCAGCCTTTGTCAAGAAGTTTGCAAACAGCATGCAACATGACTGCTCTCCATGTCTGTGTGAAATCACAACCCCCTGCAGTTGAGATCGCCAACAATTGACAAATTGCATGTGTTGCCACTACATTTCCCTTTATACTGAGTTCACCGCAATGCCCACTGAGCCTCACTTGGGGTGTGACAAGAGATTGGAGAAAGGCCATGAGGAAAAGACACTGGGACAAACCCCATGTACACACAGTGGCAAAAAGGCACCCTTCTGGAGTCAACGTAACTTCACACAGAACAGAAACACGGTCCAGACTGCAAAGAGTATCCTCAACAGGCATACACAAACAGAAACTGAGGGATCCTGTTCTCAAGCTATGCCAAGGAAAAGACCAAAGCAAAGCATTATCCACTACAAATTTAACTTCTAACATCTTTGCATATCGTGAATCAAGTCTAAATGTAACTTTTTCATCTTGAACTCAACAAGTTTGCTCAGAGCTTTCCGTTGCTCAGGAGATACTGCGCAAGCAGCTCTGTCTTGAAATTTTCTCGGTACTGCGAAGTTCTTGGCCACTGGTGTGAAGCAAGAAAAGCTCAACATGTTATATACAGAGTTTTCTACAAGCTGTCAGTATTTCAGGGTATAAATTTGAAGTTCCTCCCAGTGGCTCCAAGGAGATTGCCTCTAGGCCCAGCAGCAAAACCAGGATCTATTTCAGCAACAGGGAAATGAACACATTCACAACTCATAACCAATCAGATTTACTTTGTATGATGCTGGACATTCCAGAGCCGGTAACCAATCACATCGGTAGGCAGTGGCAGAATAGGCTTTCCACTGTGTGATCAAAATTTGGCCCAAGGCTACACAGCAAGGGTGCAAACAGTTTCTATTCAGGAAGCTATGTTTCAAAGATGAATTGTAAGGCATGTCAATGTAAAGGCTATCAGAAACCCATCTTCAAATGTGAGTTGTAAAGAGTGCACCACATGCATCATGCAGTCTTGCTCCTGCATCACTGTGCACCCTTTGTCACTGCAATTGGTTTGTTCTTCTCCATCTTTAAATCTGTGTCTGTGATCAGGTACGGTTTCCTCGAAGTCAATTTGCCATGAACGGCATCCCATGTGAATCTCCAGCACCATGCGAATCCAGGGCTCAGCTGTGGTTGATCACCCTCTGATGCCAAGGACCGAACCTGACGCAAAAGACATGACAAGACGCAAGCAAGAGGGCACTGCAAGACATGACAAGACACAAGCATGAGGCCACTGCAAGTATGTAAACTCACCCAAATTTCATACTAAGCTTAGCAGCAAAGTTCTGATGGTTCATCTTCCCTTCAGTCTTGTCCTTCAATACATAGACCCAAGGCTGCCCTTTGGCTTCCACTGTGTAGCCGTGGCTCTTGTCGTTGGTAGGCTTCAGCACATGGCCCGTTATATCGAGTTTGGTGAAGGAGGTTCCTTTGAACAGTTCTCGGCAAACCTTAGAAACATGCAATAACCAACACAAGGATCTGACCTATAATCAGTTCATGACACATGTGAAAGCTCAATCTTTGATTTAACTCAGTGAGGCTAGTGGCTGAATACAGAGTTCCCCTTTTGGTTTTGGCATTGTCATCACCATCACCTCCATCAGCAGTGTTGACCAAAAGCTCTACCCATGTCCTGTCACCCCGTAGGAAGGCCAAAGGCACACCCACCACATTCTTGCCATCAGCCTTTTCTTGAGGCTTGCCACCACCAACTGAGGCCAGCTTTGTTCCACGAGGAACCTTGCAGTCTTGGTTGGCAGTCAGGATATAGTGCTTGTCATCCTTGTACAAAGTCACCGTGCCGCCACTCACCATTTTGTGATCAATGATCTTGGTGGAAGGGCAATCCTTCGGTTGCCTTGTCGGCACAGTATCAATGACAACCTCTTCTTCATTCTGGCGCGCATCCTCAACAGTCTTGTCCACATTCACAACAGCACTGCTTCCACGCTGTTCAGACAGAATCTCATTGAACTTATCCAGCACTTCACCATCTTGTTGGCAAATACGGTCAAGTTCCTGTTTCAGAAAGGGGAACAGGCTTAATGCAAGGAACCCAATTACTATATTATTTTGGACTTTGTATTTAAAAGCACTGACAAAGCTTTCAAACAAATGTTTCTTCCAAGAAGCCCCTCTGATTGATGGTGGGGCTGTCGAGAACTCTCCCTTCTTCACTGGGTTGATTGCCACTGCACTTCCAGTGATTGCCTCATATTTGGACAAAATTCTGAAATCAACCTTTAACTATCACTTCCAGGGGGGTGAGCATCTGTGAGAAACAAAATGAACAAACATCGCAGAAGACTTTGCTTAATACATCAGGGCACAAGAACTTCAAGCTGCAACTTGTTGAGGCCCTCATAAGCTTCATATACACCTGGCACCTGCTTCATTGCCTCCAAATCCTCCGCAGAGAGAGCTGTCTCTGGCTCTGGCATGACAGGTCGAAGGCGCCCTGACTGCCCCACCTCCTCTTCATATAGTGTGACCATCTTGGACAACCATTTGGAGGAAAGGAAGCCAGCCAACCTCAAAAGGGGAAGAGACCCAATTGGAACAGAACAGCTTAAACTTCACAAAATCATGAAAATCACATGTAATGTACAGCAAGATATTTGGGATCTTTTTGGGGTATCCAACCACGCCTTTTGATTGAAAAGGCTGCTTGAGTGCCATTCTTGCCTGGGATGTCCACCATCCAGCATCGAAGCTTGCACTTCAAGCTTCCTGACATTCGAAGGCGACAAATGGCCATGGACAAGTCCCCATTGTACGGGTGCAAGTCAACTATCTCCACAATGTCTTGGGCAGTCACCACCCCACTCAGGAGATCTTTGATCATATTCTCAGAGCATTCCACTCCACGCTGTGCTGCACGTGTTGCCGCAACCACCCTCAATCGCTCCTTGTACTCACTGGCCTCAGAACCTGGGATTTGCACAAGGAACAGGGAAACACATTCAGTGGAAGGACCATTCATTTGCAGTAGAAAAAAGAAAGCCACCAAGCAGAAGCAGGGGACTGGACTGTACATTGTACAGCTCAGATGCAGGTGGAGATGTGGCTCCTAGGGAGTGGCAGGCAAACATTTCAATCCTTGACAGTTAGTGCTGCGTAAGTGTACCAACTACTAAGCCAACCCAATGCTGCATGTGACAGCCGCGCCTGTGATCTTGGCAGTGAGCACAGCGGATGATGCACACCACTTGTTCTCAGCAAAGGCAACCTTCAAGTTGTCATGCATCATGAAGAGCTTGTAGGTGACATGTGTGTCTCGCTGCCCTTTCCACAGCTTTCTCCTCTGACATGTCGACATCTTCACATACTGCACCTCGCAAGTCCGTCACCATACCAACATGGAAGTGGGTTGGGAAGCTCTCAATGGACTTGATCACCTTCAAGGGCACCAAAGAAGAAAAGAAAGACTAGTTTAAGACTAACATGATTCTGTTAATTCCAAAGTCAAGTGTCTTTTCTGAACATCAACAGAACACTATCCCAGCCTGTTCATCCAAAACATCACCTTCTTCAATGACTTGGGTCACTGACTTGAGATCATCAGCCAGCAAGTCTTGCTCACAGCAGCCCTTCATGCATCGGCTCCACAGACAAATGACTTGCCGACTGCGCATCAGCTTGTCCAAGCCGGGGCGTTGCCTGGTCCACTGATCCACCCCCTCAAAACAAAATAGCTCAATCAAACTACTACTAAGCATGGTCCAACAAAACCAGTGTTCACTTAACCACAAAGTCTAGTCTAAGCACAACTTGAAGCAAGGGGCATTGACCTTGCTGCCTCCGCTGGCAAGGATTGCACACTGAGCTCAAACTGTGCAACCAACTTCCTGACCAGGAGGTTGTGCTCCTCTACAGACAAATGGCTCCTGAAGTCTGTCAAGTTGACCTTCACCCCCTCCGGCACCATCCTCAATGCCATGTCTGAAGCCTGGATGGGAGGAGCAGTGGTATAGGAAAAAACTACTCATAGAAACCCTTCCAATCACAAAAAACATAACTGCACCACATAGAAACCCTGACAATCACCAAAAAAAATAGCTGCACCACCTTGTCAAGGAACCATTCGAGCAGAGGCCTCTTGCTGCTCATTTGGCAAAAGGCCTGGTGGAGATGGACTCATAGGCCAAAGGAATTTGGATGCAAGTAGCTGATCACTCAGTGCAGATTGCCTGTATCCCTGGCACCATGACACATGACTTGTCATCCATGCCCAGCTTTCCTTCGTGGCGTAGCGGAGGATGTTGCGAATAGCAGTGCACCGCGTGGTGCCCAGTCGAACAGCTTCTTGATCTTCCACAGCTGTCTCATTGGCACCACTACTTCCAGCATCTTTGTTGGATTTCGTGGGTCGGCCACGTCGTTGTCGCTTTTTCGCCTGGTTGCAAAAGTAGAGGCAAAACAACAGCAAGTTAGTTCCAGGTTGTGAGAAAAGAAAATATAATATGCAAATTGCAAATCATTAAGACATGGGCCTTGGAGCTAAGTCACTTGGACAACTGCATCAGTCACACCTTCAACATCCATGGCTTGCTGGTAGTTGGCACAAATCCGATCAAACGTGGCCATCAATGATGCACCACGTGCACTTCTCTGATCCAAATCAGTGGAGTCAAATATAGTATTTGTATCCACCCCATCCTGATGGACAGCTGGTGGAAAAATATGAGCTTTGTGAGAATCACCAATTTGCATGGTAAAAATATCAGCAACAAAAATGATTGCAACACCCAGGGTACTGGCAAGGCACAGGATACAAACAAAGGGCAGTGAGATGCACCCATTGTAGGGGGCTCAAAGGCTGAATGAGGGTGCCTCGCACATTCTGTTTCAGCGCTGCTTGGACCAATCCGTCTTCATGGTTGTCATCTGTGAAGCCTCAGAGATTCAAAGCCTGTGAGGAAACATAGTAGCAAAGGAGTTGCAAAACTTTCTAAATATTTTGGTCTCCCTTTGCCAAGGTGCATGTGGGAATTTGAAGCAATGACTTGTAAATCTTTTTCACCTTGAAGTCCTGCAAAACTGATGTCACACCATCTTCAATCATGCCCTTCATGAGTGACCACCTCAGAGGGATTGGCAGGCATGTTTCACCAGTTGCAACTGTACATGTCCTTCACCACTTGATGGGTCACTGAACCTTTTATATTTGGACCAGGTTTCTTTATTTCCACTCAGTCTACTTTTTGATAAAAAAGGTCACTATCCTGACCACAATTCATGATCTTGGTCATCAACATGAACATCAATCATGCCCATTACGAGGATCCTGATGATGATCTTCACATGGACTGTTTTATGACTGTACATCCCTGCCATCTTGTTTGACTTCAAGATTATGATGTTGATCTTCTTGTGGATCATCATCAATCCTTGTTACTTCTCTTCACCAATGAACAGCTTGTTAAACATCAAGGTTGCCATCATGTTCACACTGTTATTCATCATTTTTGTCATCACCATGACCATCAGAGACATGATCTTGCATCAAAAGAAAACATCATTACAAACCCCATCTAGGTTGTCTTCAAGTTGAACACCCTGTTCATAAACAAGGCCACCAGTAAGACCACAATGTTTGCATCATCTTGATCAACAACCTCAACAGAAACATTTTATTGGTCAAATGATGTGCATCATTTGGACCATTGTCATGAATAAACATCATGTCAACCAACATAGCGATAGTCTTCAAAACGAAAACCTTATTCAAGAACACCTTCATTTTCACAATACTGTTCAGCATCGATGTCAATAAGATTCATCCAAGTGTTTGATATTTTTTGCATGCCATCTGAGGGGTTCATAGTTACACCCTTTGATCAAGATGATGTGCATCATTTGGACCATTGTCATGAATAATCATCATGTCAACCAACATAGCGATAGTCTTCACAACGAAAACCTTATTCAAGATCACCTTCATGTTCACAATACTGTTCACCACCGATGTCAATAAGATTCATCCAAGTGTTTGATATTTTTTTGCATGCCATCTGAGGGGTTCATAGTTAAACCCTTTGATCAAGATGATGTGCATCATTTGGACCATTGTCATGAATAAACATCATGTCAACCAACATAGCGATAGGTTTCAATACGAAAGCCCTATTCAAGAACACCTTGATGTTCACAATACTGTTCAGCATCTATGTCCATAGGATTCATCCAAGTGTTTGATATTTTCTTGCATGCCATCTGAGGGGTTCATAATTAAACCCTTTGATCAAGATGATGTGCATCATTTGGACCATTGTTATGAATAAACATCATGTCAACCAACATAGTGATAGTCTTCAAAACAAAAACCCTATTCAAGAATACCATCATGTTCACAACCCTGTTCAACATCTATGTCAGAAAGATTCACCCAAGTGTTTGATATTTTCTTGCATGCCATCTGAGGGGTTCATGGTTAAACCCTTTGATCAAGATGATGTGCATCATTTGGACCATTGTCATGAATAATCATCATGTCAACCAACATAGCGATAGTCTTCACAACGAAAACCTTATTCAAGATCACCTTCATGTTCACAATACTGTTCACCATCGATGTCAATAAGATTCATCCAAGTGTTTGATATTTTTTTGCATGCCATCTGAGGGGTTCATAGTTAAACCCTTTGATCAAGATGATGTGCATCATTTGGACCATTGTCA